CACCCCCCCCACTCTCCCGACGATGATTGCTGCGGGAATTTCGCGGAGCCGGATGCTACTTCGCGCCTACGCGGACAGCTTTATGTATGCCGCTCACGACGCCTGATAGCCGGCAGACTCCGGAGAGTAGGGAACAAATTATCGAACACCGGTAATAATGGAGACGGCTTGGGAGCGACACCGATGCTAACGAAGGCCTTCGACGTCGATAAACTGCTGGATAGGATGGCGGGGAACGCTTCGGGGACAGAATTCAGGATATTTATGGGGATGGGCGAAGTCTTTCGGGGTTGATTCGGAGTAGCGAGCTCTCCTGGAGATCCGTGTATCGGGAGTGATTCTTCGAGATTCGCTTGATTTTCGTGTGGTCGATGTAATGATTCCATTGTACGAGTCGACGGGTGTATCGATGAATGCGGAGGTCCGCGTTCGGCATTGGTAATTAGTGGAGATTCGTTTGATTTTCAAACGAATGGATCGTACGGATCAATGAATGTATAATATGTTTCGCGTGTTGTATAATGAGGGATAAATGCATAAAATGTGGGTTTCGTTGGAGAGTTACGATGTTCAGAATTCGGAGAATAGCGGTTCACGTTGAATATACAAAAACCCAGGGGGATGAGAAGTGTCAGTCCGTTGTCTGATTAATCGAGCCGCGGAAAATATTCCCCGCGATAAACACGTTCGAATGATTTACACGTCGGAAGTGGTGAACCCGGTTGATTAATTATTGAAACGAATTTCCGAACGTGTTGTTTTGATGTCGATCATTCGGCCCCGGATGTGGGATATATATATATATATATTTAGAATATCCTTTTTATTCGACCCCCGAGGTGGATCCAGTAAATGCGACGGGAAATATTATACGCCGCTACATTGGAAAAAATGAGGGAGCTGACGGAACAGCCCTCTGGGGCTGACCTCGTACCACATATGTCACTTAAAGGACCGGGGTGGGCCGTAAGATATCAAGGATGAATTTTCCTGCTATCAGCCTATAACTTTATGTGCCAAGCCCCGGGATAATACGAAAAAATCCAATCGGTTTTTCGATACCGTTGCGCCTCCCGTGACCCTCGTGACATTCGAACCCTCATATTTCCGTCGGTTCTGCGAAATGCCCGGCCGCAACGTTACGGATACCGTTCTCTGTACGCTACACGTTCAACAAACACGAATATAAACCAGTTTTTCAATTTGTTAAACGGATTAGACCGGTCCGCTCCCGATATATCAGCCTCGAAATAAAGGCGGGGAATTCGATTTTTCAATCGAACCTTTTAGTACCTTTCGAAACTAGATATACCCAAGGAACTTCCATCGATATCTAAAGTCAATTTTATACACACGCACACACACACACCGGCGTGCACACGGTTTTCTCAACAAGTTCAAAGATAAATCAATTTTTCAACCGCTCGGCTAGATTAGATTTCCCCGTATCAGACGTGCAATCTTTGTTAATTCGCGAAGCTTCGAGCTGTACCGGAAGCTAAATATACTCAAGAAACTTTTATCGTTATCCGAACTCAATTTCACGGACACATGCTCTGCACACTACACTTTTAACATCGTCGAAACATAAATCAACTTTTCAACTCGTTAAGCGGATTAAACAGCTTTCGTATCAAGGCGCGTTAACCTTCAGGTTTTCCAATTTTACGTCGAAGCTTCGAGGACAACGCGACGCGAGATATGCCCGGGAAATTCGAATCAGTCCGACAGGGGTGTCCCCATGGACGTATTAAATTACTGGATGCTCTCACCTCCGTATCTGATCTTATCCAGCTCTTCGGTGAATATCCGTAGCTGCGGGTTCGAGAGGTCTCCGACCTGAAAGCCAACCGAGAGGATATCTGTGACGTATCGCTTACTGCGATCTTCGCTCATCGCCGGCTCGATCTCACGGCCGGGATATACGCGGAGAGATTAGGCATGTACCTGGAGCAGAAGCGACACCGCGACGATCCCCTGCGCTCTGTGCATCGCGTCCGAGAAGTTGTTGTACAGCTGGGAGTTGTAGCCAAATATTTGCAGCTGCGAACGAAAACGGGTCGGGGTTTAGAGCGACGTTGCCTTAACGACACGCTGTTTATCATAAATCGAATACACCGTGGTGGACTTTGTGTACAGACTTCTATAGATCGGTTTCAGTGATTTCAGTCCGCCTTTGGTCAGGCGGCTTCAAATTATTCCAGGGATCAGTGGGAAATTCTCTCGATAGCTTAACCCTTTATGGGCCGAATTTTTGTTCATTATTATAACAAAATCTGTGCAGTAAAAAATTAATAGGTATCCACATATGATTACGAATGTATTCAATAGTTTCGATAATTTCATCAAACGAATATATTTTGTAACTTTCAAGTTACAATGACGTTGAACTTAAGTTAACTGATTACTTCATTTTATTCAACACTTCGAGTGCGAAATGAAATAAATCAACAAGATGCCAATATACTGTTATGTGACTTTAAAGTTACATGGGCCTATAGAGGGTTAATGTTCGACGAATCGAATATCGCTGAGTATATTATAAAGATCTGTTTTTCATATTTAAGTAGCGTAGATTTATTAGTCAGACATTGGTACGAAGCAGAGTTCAATAGAGAACTATTCTAACACTCCTCGGCTTTGTGAATCTCATACGACTGTATTCGTGGTATGAATCTAATTTTCCAGTTTCAGTGGTATAGGTCCTTTAATCAGACTCGAGCGTAAAAGCTGTTAAATTATAATGAGACGGGACCGTTGATACGCTGTTCTCGTAAGAATTGAAACGCAACACGGCACTCCTCGCGCAGGGAAATGTAAAGCTTGATATTTCAGTGGAATAAGTCAGCCGTTATCCAGACGGCAACAGTATGCACTCGGTATTTGTTACAAGACGGCTGCGTAAGAGGTAGAGAAGGATCAAGCACGGGTTGCCTTCAGGAATTAAAGTAGTATAGTACCGTGAGTGGTCAGACGACCACCGGCACGCTTTAGCGAAGATGCGAGAACGACGTTTCGTCTGAATGAATACGGATAGAACGTATATAAGAGAGCCGAGCTGAATACTGCGCCCGGATCGGGGAATAAAAGGACACATACAGGCATCTGTTTAGCAATTTAAGTAGTCTAGTACTCCAAGTGGTCAGGCGCTCGTAACGGAGCTCACGGATGCGGGAGTAACGTTTCCCTTGAATGAATATGAGAAGCCTGTGCGCGGAAAAGTGAAATTGTACCCTTATCCCGGATCAATAAATGAAAGAATCGGAGGATTTCGGTGGCACGAGTCGCGCATTGGTCATACCCGCTAAATTGGACGTTTTGCAAATTGAACGAGAACTCCTCGCCGCGTGCTCTTCCCCGTATTCGAAGGAAGATACAAAAGGACGTCTCCCAAGTTTCTGTAAACACATTCTGAGCGAAATTAACCACGGTTAGGAAGATGGTCCGCGGAAACGTTCAATTCGAGGAACACGGAGCTCCGCGCGGGTTCGGTTGCCGGCTTGTAAACGTTCGTGCATGTTTCAGTGCGCGGTACACAACGAAGCAGCCGTTATAATCATAATTCATGAATTTTTCCCGTAATAGGCAGCCTCCTTATAACGCGATCGTTACGCTCCTTCGAAACTACCGCATTATGCGGAACTGTGAGTTGCCACAGGGGACAGGGTTACGCGTTGCGAGCCGGTAAAGCTATGCAACTTTGCTGCCGCTACCCTGGGGAACGTGTACACCGACAGTATCAATAACCATCGCAACATTAACGTCGCGTATTGCCCTCGTCGCGAAGTATCCGTCCCCAGTTTTCGAGCGCAACGTTTCCATCCTTATACTCTACTTTCCCCGGAAACGAAGAAATTACTCCAAATAATCTCTCACTTAAACCTTTTTCTCCCTCGAGCACCTCTTCAACATTTTAATCCTCAACATTCCAGCCCTTTTCCTCGAGAAACTTTCGCGAGTTCCTCAAAATACGAAGCAATTCCGCCGAGTTCTTCAATGCGAGCACACCTTCCAGTGAAAACTCTTCCATCCCTTCTCAACTATCCTACATCTAAAATCTATCGGAACTGCACCCTGAAGATATCAATGTACCAATCGGAATTCGTGCCTCGCAAACTTCCCGGTCCCTTCGTTTCGAAAAAGTAGAATACATCGTGGGAAATTCTACAGTATTCGCTAGAATCGCAGCTGGCATCATCAGGGATCCGCCGATACTCTCAACGACACACTATCAATGAATCAGACTTCTAATGATGTCATCTGCGATGCCAGCGAGTCGCTGAACCTTCCCGATCTTTCCCAATGCACACAACTTCCACCGAAAACCTTCGGACGCTTATCGAATAGTCTAGCAATTGAAGAGTAACGTTTACCTCAGCAGGGAACGCGTGTCCGTCAACGATATGCTCGCTGCCGTGTCGATCGTTCAGCCCGAAGTGCAGGTGCATCTCGTGGAACTGGTAGCGGTAGCTAAGCGGTCCGCCCGATATGTTGACCGGATGTCGTGTGTCGTTCTCCACGGCGAAGACGACGCTGTGCCCGGTGTTGGCGAGCACCCCGCCGACCCGGTGCTTGTCGAGGTGCAGCGGCTGCAGGTTGGGGTCGAAGAGCAGCCTGGTCGGCTCCAAGTTGACCGGCGATTGTCGCTTGCCTTTGTCGCACAGCCACCATTCGGGATTGATGAGACCCCAGAAGGCGGGACCTTCGAAACGTGCCGATTAAACGACGGTGTAGGCTATCGAGGGATCGATTATCGCGGATCACCCTCCCTGCCCGCCACGGGAGACCGTTAACAAGTTCGAAACGAAGTTTCCGCGAAGCTAAACCCGGGGATTATCGGAAGCTGGAGCCACGAAATTATTCAGGGATCGGCGGGAGTCAAGTGGCAGCGGGTTTACCGATTCTATAAAATTAAACGGTTACCTCCTTACGCGTCTTAACCGGATAGTTTTTGGATCGGATCCGCGCGAAGAGTCTTCCAGTCGCGCCGCTTAATCGGTTCAACGGACGTCTTCGCGTTGAAGCTCGTTAGGGGATGTTTTAATTATTTTAGACCGGTGCGAGGGAAATTCTCCTGTTCGAGCTTACAGCTAATCGGTGGTTATCAAATATTCAGGAAGATACCCGGGTTGACAGTGGTCACCGGTGACCGACGTTTCCGAATTGCTTGAGAGTAATTGCATTGGGATTGACGTTGAGTAAGTGTTTAGCAACTCAAGTGAATAGATAATCGTGTGAAGCGAGAACTGCGAATCGTTGACGATTCAATTGAATTCAATATAATTTGTCGTATAGATTGAAAAATGTTCATTCAGTTCTCCGAGGAGAATCTGTAAGATTCAAAAGGGTTGAAAGAACAATCGCGAGTAGGAATATTCACTGTCAAGCTTCCACGTTGTTAAGATAATTGTCTCGACTGCACGGAATATGTCAACGATCGTCGATCCGCCGGTCGACGCGTCGAACGTTCCGATGCGCCGTTTCGCGTCGCGGAATTCGTCGAAGTCCATCGGAAATATTCAACCGAAGATATCGTTTCCTGGTCGGCCGAGTAACTCGGCAAGGGAGAGATCCGCGGCTCGAAGAATCCCTTACCGGAAATGCCGTTGTAGTTCCACCATTCCTCCCACACGACGGGCCTAGATTCTGCAAATAGTTCGTTATCAAGAATCTCCGCGATGTCGTTTATGCGACGGGGAAGCAGTCCTTAACCTAGAACCAGTTACGTCTTGGGTCAAGTGGCCGGGATATTTGGCCACGCTTCGCCGAATAACGAGCCACTCGTCTCAATTACACGGTTCCCGTGGAACAATGATATCAAAAGATCCCGTCGGCCGCTGCTGCCGTCGCAGCGACGGCTACGACGACGGAACCGGTGAGAACCGACCGCGAAAAAAAAAGGCGACCCGATCGATTCACTCTTCAGGTTAAGAACCGCTGATCAACGGATGCGATGAGAATCATTCGCTTTTCGACCTGTTCGCTTGTATTGTACCTTGTATCAAAACGATTACGAACACTCCCCAGACGCCCAGGAATACGGAACTGAATGGGGCCATTCCTAGCGTTGCGCAGTCTTCGTCAATTGAACATCATTCGTCTCGATTCTATGGACAAGAAGAAAAAAGACGAGACCAGTTGATCGATTCGCTCGAACACGTGTCTCCTTCAGCGACCGCCTCCCACGTGGACGGCAGCCGTGTCTCCTAACGAGGGAATAGTCTGAATCGCGCGGCTTTGATCTTTGCGCCCCGATCGAGCCTGTTTTAATAACCCGGAGAGCTATGCCGTTTCTCTTTCTCGCGGAGCGGGGATATACCCAGCGGTGTATCGCGACGCAGTCTCCTCAATAATCGAATTCAATTGAACCAAGCGACTCGGTAATCCTCGGTTGAACATCCCCACCGGCAGACATTACAAAGATATCATTCGAAAGATACTCCGTAAAGCATCCGAGATTACAATGCCAAGCGCAATCGAGAAACCGCTGTGCCGACACAAAGCAGCGAAATTCAAATTCGAATCTCGGCATCCCGAAAACGAAACCACTGATTACGAATGGTACAACATCGTCCAATTATCCCGTAACAAAGAGGACGTAACGAACCCAGGCAATAACGCGATCACAACTAAATCTTATCAAAGATCCTCGCGGATTCAGACCACCCTCTATCTTCACAAGTCCGACAGTTCATTACACCCAGACACCTCGAACCGACGGCGCGCGACAAAAATAAAGAAAAAAAGGAACGAACGCTTCGAAAGATAACGAGTATCGACCCGCGTCCGAACGTTAATGTCACAGCCGTCGAGATTTTAATTGACCGGCGTCACGCGATCACGCGGCGCGTCTACCGAACCCCTCGGCGGATGGCGGACGTGTGGTAACGCAGCCTCGGACATGAAAGAAAAGACAAATCTGCAGTCATCGTTGTCGAGACGCTCGAAAGGGGGCGGGGTTCCCACTCGATCCCCCCTCCCGCCGGCTAAACCACCCACAACGACCACCCGCCGCCTCCTTCTGTGTAGTCCACTCCACCCCGTTCCACGACACTCCACCGATGTATTCTTAGGTCAGGAAAACTCGAGTAGACTCTGTTCTGGGGCGGCCGCGCGCGGGAGGGAGCGGGTGAAAAGTCGATCGATCGATCCCCGATCTCCCCGGTATCGGGACCGAGGATCGCTGGGACACCGAGTGTCTCTAACCTACACCGGCGAGCATCGAGATAAGAGCTCTCCGACGGTGTCCCGAGTACGATGACTCGGCTCTCACTCGTCCGACCCCCCCCGGCCGCCCCCCTCGGCCGGGCGACCCTCGTTTTTCTTTCGGCCGCGTCTACCAGACGGTCCTTCATTGAATTTCGACCGATTGTTTCGAACCGCCTCGACTCTAGCCGCCCTTTGTTCGGGACTCGGCGCTCCGGCCGGGCGTCCGAGTCGATCCCGATCTCCGATACGACGATCGGCAGGCTTCAGCTGTTCACGGTTGCGCGGTGAACAGCTCCGAGGGATTCTACTCGTTTCGGAGAACGCTCGAGCGCTGGGTTCGAGTCGCGAGCCGATGTTTGAAGTAGTCTGTCGCGGATTATGGGTGTTTCCGTTGTTCTTAGGAAGCTGTTGAGATCCGAGTATCGGTTGTTGAGAATTCTGGTATCGCGCGGAAGATTCTTGGGTAACGGGGGTAATTAGTTTGACGGGTAGAAGCGTGGAGTTGATCTGTTTCGCGTCAATTATCGCGAGCGCCGATGTCGTTCTATCGGTGCAACCCAGTTCGTTCGTCTGAACAGACTCCGGCAACCTTCCGATCGAACCTTGACGTTTCCGGATTAATTATTACTCCGATTAATCCGTTCCACGTAGAGTGTCCTACCCGTCGATGAAGGTTTCACGTCGAATCGACGTCCGTAAATGTTAACGAAACCTCGATCAATGGCAACGGGACTCGTCCGATTCCGTCGCTGAGCGAAAGGATTCGAGAGATACCGCGGTCCTCTGATCTTCTCTCTCTCTCTCTCTCTTTCGAACCAGCGGCGTACTTCGCATTAAAAACATCTGACGATTGTTCCGCTCGCTGAAAATGGCGCAGGATATCGAGGAACGCCAGGAAGCGCGCGACCGAAGTAAATTTCTCGTTCGCGGAGGGGAACGTCAACAGAGAATGGAGCGCGGAAAGTCGTCCGCACGGTGGCACAGAAATCCGCGGGCAAGGATAACTCAAGCTAGCATCCTGCGACCCGACAGTCGACGGTTCATGCAATTTCCTGCCTGTAAACAGCATCCTAACGTCCCCCGGCCGCCGCGGAATCGAAATTCTCGCTGCGACGCTATTCTAGTTCGAGTAGTGTCTAATCAGGCGGAGAAAGAGGTCTCTCCTCTTCCACTCGAGTGCAATTATCGGAGTGGAGGGCTCTAGTGCGCTCAACGTTCGAAATGCGTGGGTGTACACACGTATAACCGCGATCCAGCTCACGTACACATGGACCCGGGGCCGATCGTTTAATCCGCGGACGGTTTTGTTCCCCGGTTTTCCTGGCCGAGCGTCGGGACCTGGCGAGGACGGCGCAGAATAATTGACCCTTCTTACCCCGCGGCGAAGTGCAATGACTCGACTCACGGTTCTCGCTGATTCTCCTGCGTCGACTCGTCCCATGGGGTAACCTTGCCCGGACCGGTTCAACGGGGCCTACGGGTTCCACAGGAAACTACCCGGCGTCGGCCGCCTCGGCGACGAATCTCAAGGAAAACACTCGTCCGCGGCGCACCGAGTCCACATTCCTCGCACACACTCGCGCGTTTCCGCGTGAATCCTCGCGATTCGATCGGGCTGAATCTTCCGAACGCGGACCGCGATCCTCTCCCCTCCCCGACGGAGCGAGATCGATCCTCTCCCGATTTCTCGCGGCTCCTCGAGAGCTCGCCGCCACAGAGGCGAAGCGAGAGGAACGGGGAAACCGCGTAAAAGCGGCGCCAGCCGATGGGAAGGGAAGAAAACGCGTGAGAGACGCACACGACCGAGTGTGTGCGCGGCGCTAGAAAACGCGGAGAGACACGTACAAAGAGAGAAAGAGGGAAAGACAGACAGAGTTAGAGAGGAAGAGAGAGCGAGAGGGCGCGAGAGAGAGAGGGGGATAGAGAGAAAGAGAGAGAGAGAGGTTTCAGGTGTGTAGGGTCGGCAGCGCGCGCTAGACTGGTGGGAGAGGACGAGCGTGCGAATCGATCGGCGAAACGCGCGATGGTGCGGCCAAAATTTTCGCGTGACGAAGACCGGAGAGAGAACCGGCCGCCCGCTCCTGCGGAAATCAATAAACGGCGATCGCGGCCTTTCGAAACAGACACCGCGATCCGTTCGCGGGTCACCCTCCCGTTCCGTCGACGATCGTAAGAGAAAGAACCACAGGAAGATCCCGGGTCCTGCCGTAAAAGCTGTAGCGGAACCCTTTACTATCTTCCCCGCAGGAGGCCCGCGGAGCGTAGTACGCGGTACGGAAACAAAGATCCTTCGAGGCGTGTTCCGTCGAGCGTTCACCCGTCGACTCGGAAACGTCGACGGCCCGATACTGACCGTGCGTACGAAGCAAAAGGACGACGTCCGTGCGCGTCCTCGCGAGCCCCGCTCCGTTGATCCTTCGATAAACCGCTTCCGCCTTCGGTCACGCTCCTCGGCAACTTCACCAACCACTTTTTTCCGCGAATGACACTCCGCCCGTAGAGCACGGCCCCGGAACCGTCGTGCACGCGAAAACCAAAGCCGAGGAACAGAGAGAGAGAGAGTGCAGCCCGTCTCCGCTGGTCTCCGTCTCGGGGAACACGGGACGATTCCAGGAGACGAGGCAGGCACGGAGGCGCCGCTCCTGTGGCGAGTGGAGGCGCGTCGACGGCTGGCTCTCGCGGCAAGCCCAGGGCCGAGCTTTTTTTCCCACGGAATAATTTCGTTAAAAGCGCGCTCCGCGCCTCTGCGAAGGAACGACGAAGGAGGAACGACTGCCCTACGAGTGCCGCTCTCTGTATACGTTCCTCCTTCTACCTCCGTCGGTCTCTCTCGCCGGTCGCCCCCTCCCCTGGCTCTGTCTTCGTCAGGGTGTCCTCGTCGCTCCGGCGCGCAGCCGATCCGTACCCCATCTAGATCTCTGTCGGGCTTTCCGGTGGCCGGCTCGGTGCGCGTGCGCGGCCGCCCGCCGACGGTCCTCTCGCTCCAGCCAAAGCGGCCGAGCTTCAACCCTCTATACTCCGCTTTCGTTCGTTCCTCCTTCTCCGGCCGTGGCCCTCCGGTTCACCCACATCGATGCTTCCGGACACGGTGGAACGAGCGTTTCGCGCCTCCGTGACTCTTTCGGCCATCCTCGGCGAGCCAGGAGGACGTCTGCGCACTAGACCCGGCCAGGACTATGCCGGAGCACGGGGAGGCCGATAGATTCTTCCTTCGTCTAGTCTTCTTCTTCTTTTTCATCTTCCTCTTCTTCTTCTTCCTCTTCTTCCACCTCCGCCTCCCGCTCGTCCGCTTCTTCGGCGTCGTCTTCCTCCTCCTCTTCTTCGAGGAGAGGATACATCTGTACCGGTTACCGCTTCCCTTCCACCGCGATCCCTAATGAATCGACCTTTTCGAGATGTTTGACCCTCCTCCGTACCCTGCCCGTCCACCCACCGTAGCCCCGTCCCGCGCACGTCCTTATCCATGGGAATAATCAATGGGCCGAGATGTTATCGAGTCACCGGGCCAGGCTGAATCCGTTACTCGATACTATTTTTCGATTGGCCGCGTTTCGCTCCTGTCGCACGGCTCACCCTCTCCTTGTTGCTTCTGTCTCGTTGTCTCTTATCCTTATTAGCGCGATCGCTGATGAGCGGCACCGCGGAAGGTCGTCCGTTCGATCGGATTTCAGGGACTCCGAGATCTGGGCCAAGCTGAATTCGTTACCAGATACTATTTTAAATCGACCGCGTTTTATTTTTATCCCCCGACCGTCCGTTTCTTTTTCTTTTTGCCTTCTGTGCCGTCGTACTTTGCGCCTCCCCTTTGTTCCTGGTCTGATTCGATCGGTCGTGTACTATCGACCAGAAGCAACAAGATAGAAGGTCGCTGGCTCGATCGAATTTCAGGGGATCCTCTTCGAAGGGGAAAGGTGGATCGGGGTTAGCCAGCGGGGCCGACGGGAGGACGGCCGGCGGAGGGCGGAGGCAAAGGTTGATCGAAGAATAGAAATTACGTCAGGTATGCTGGCACGGCGTTCGGTTTTACGCGGACGTGGGCTATGGACGGCCACGTGACCAGCCAGGATCTCGCGCGGATACACCGAAAAGCTCCTGACTGGTCGACTACGCGGAGGCCGCTTATCGATTTTCAAAGCGGCATTGCCCGAAACGCGCCGCGCCGCGCCGCGCCGCGCCGCCAGGCCTCTCTCCTCCGCCTCGCGCGGCGTGCCGACGATTCCGACGCGTGTGCCCGGAGGGGGATACGACCGCCCGGAAAAGTGGGACTCGGGTACACCGGACCCGATCGTCCACTCACCGATCCCGATCCCCCTTTCCCATCGCCGCGCGGCCTCTCCGGTCTCCCTTTATATTGCATCCGAATGAATAGAAATGCACTTCAGCTGTACTGGCACTCGAGCCGCGTGGTAAGTCCGGGAAAGAAAGGGGATCGGGATATTCCTCTCATTGATATCTCTCTCGAGCAGTGATTCCCGTCAACCCTTGGCGCACGGAGCCAAATATTTGCTGCCGCGAGTGGAAAGGCGTTCGAATTTAATGGCGAACTGCCTGCCTGCCTTCTTTCTGCGTGCCCGTGTCTCCGCCGTTGGGAAAGGGAGATTAGGAATGGGAGTAGAATACCTTCCCACGGGGAGATTCTGGAAACGAGCTGGAATATTGGAAATCGTTCACGAGATCGTAGTATCTTTGATAAATAGGGGATGACTTTATTTTTTCAACGCAGCTGGTTATGTGTAAGGTGTATGGGTTTGCCATTAGTCAGACGTAGGCATGAAAGGAGTTGGAAATAATTATTCCCATGCCTCGGTGTTTCGAGCAATTTCTCAAGTTTCCAGTACTATAGACTCGCCATTGGTCAGACACGCAGACGATTAACACTAAGACTATCGAGCACTTCACTTGACTTTGAAAATTTCGCTATAGAAACTCCAAGAGTGCGTCTGTTCAGACTCGAATTGATTCACAATTCAATTTACGTAGTGCTAAATGAATTTCTTTAATAATTCCTCACAGAAACATCTGTTACCTTTCTAATAATTGCAAATAAAAGACATCAGGCATGATTTGACCCCTCTGGTAGCTTCACTGTTAAGACTGCAATAGAAAACTGCCTCCGATACCGCAACCGTCCTCCCAATCAACGGAACGCAGCATCCAAACCCAGTGCTAAATATTCCAGTAGCAAAGCCTCGGCGTTTGTCAGGCAAGCAGAAAAACAACCTACAATTCGGTTAAACGCTTCCCGAAACGCGACGCATCGAATAAAAGTCAGCTCGCACATCAAACGGAACACTGAAATTAGACATTCCAGTAGCGAACTCCGTCACAGGTCGGACACGACAGTTCGCAATTAATATTCTTCTCGAAACGAGACCAGAACCGTAAACCAAATCCGAACGAACCATAAACGTAGACGTTCCTCGCGATCATCTCCTTCCGAGACACGTTCTTGCCAACAATTCGATCGTCGTCGGCTCCGTCTCACGCTGAATTCCTCATTCTCCGGCTAAACACAGCCACACGAAGCGCACTGGGGGATGAACGTTCGCTTATTAACATCCAGATAAAAATTCCGAAACGATCCCGCCCGCGGGAGGACGCAGCGCCGTCGTTCCCCATTAAAAAGAGATCAATTCCCCGGGAACGCGAGCAGCCGGCTGGAAGCCAGGAGTTTTGCTTACGAGGCTACAATACAGCCGCGTTTAGCCTACGTGCGCGGCCCGCGACCGATTGCAGCTCGTTCCTCCTACTTTGACGACCGGCGAGCTCCGCCGGGGGCCGGGCGGGGGCCGGCGGATATTGAATTCGCTGCGAAACTTATGTTTGTTTTATTCATGCCGATTGCCAGCCGGCGGCGGGACCACCGATGATTATGGGTTATCGATGCTGTTCCGACGCCGCGGCTCATGGATATGCAAAAATCACCCGCACCGCGGCCAGATATTGGCCGGGATAAAAAATTCGGTGTTTGACGAGGCCGTCCGCACCGCGGGGGCGGGACAGTGAAGAAACTCGTTCCCGTGTCTACCTCGTCCGCCTCCCCTCCGGCCCGCCGCGCGGACCCCGGCCGATCGCGCCGCTTGTATTTAGTCGTCCGATGAATCGAATCGAGAAATTTTTCCGTTCCTCTTTCCGTTTTTCCAGCCCGTTCCCCGTTCCGGAGGGGAAACGTTTAAATCAACTTTCAGAATCGACCAGCACTTTTTCCTCGTTTTGTGTTTTTCCTGTGTTTCTTGTGTGTATGCGCGCGGTTTTTTTTCGACATTTTCCGGTCAGATACCGGTCGGAAACAGGGAGGGAGAGAGATGGGAGAGCCGGTGCAGTGACCGGGTCGCGGTGGTACAGGGAGAGAGAGAAAAGGGGGGAGAGAGAGAGAGAGAGAGAGAAAGGGAGAGAGCAGAGGCATTCGGGGAAATTGATTGACCGACTCGCGGATATTTAGATCCCGTGATATTCTCGCTAATGGACGGGCGAAATGGCTTCGCCGGCTGCTAGACGGGAGAGACGAATTTTCTTCGTGATTTGCTATTTCCCGAACCGTAGTTTTTCGAGTTGTTCGGCCGTTCTCGCTTCTAAATATCCGGGGTGATGCTCGAATTAGCTGATTAAAGATTCAGTTGGAACGGAATCGTAACGGTTTCGGCGGTAATAATAACGCTCGGATGCGTCTTCGATTTATTTTCATTCGGGCTCGGCGACGCTTTATTTTCCCGTCGTCCGATAATTTCGCTCGGGCCGTGCTATTTATTATTATCGATTCGGTCCCCGTGAATCCGCACGGAACGGATAAGGAGGATTCAGGTCGCAATGAAATGTTCCGTCGGAACCAGAGACCCGGCCGCGCGCGGCCCGGCCAGGCCGGCGAAGGGTTGAGGGGTTGATTCTCGAAATAAATGTGGCGGATCAACGGTGTCCAATAAAATGTAAAAACGGGAGGATTCTTGTCGCGCGGCGACAATAACGCCGGCCAGTAACGAAGTAACGACAATGGATTATTGCCGTAAAGGCAATATCCTGTCATCTGTTTCTGGCTGCCGCCGAACGAGACGGACCTACATTTTCTACCGGGCGCTATCTCGCTGGCAATATATCACGGAATATCGACAATCGTGACGTCGCGTAATTAGAACGACGACGCGTTCTTCGGGACGCGTTACAGTTTTCTAATAAAAGTGTCTTTGCTTGTATTTCCGGCGCTTCCTCTCTCTGTTCCCTGTCGTTCTATGCTTTCGCCTTTCCACGCTGTCGTCCCTGTGCGCTGCCATTTTTCTGCATCCCCATCTATCTTGCGTTGCATTCTCCTGCGCTTGTATTCGAACTTTCCATTCTGACTTTTCTTCTTTTTAGCTTTCCATATTTTCAGCTTTCCATCTTTCCAACTTTCCTTCTCTGTAACCTTCCATCTTTTTACTTTTCTATCTTATCCACGTTTCTATCCTTTTATCATTCCATATTTCTACTTTCTTCGCGTTCCTACCTGTCTCCTTCTCTCCCTCTCTGTCTTCGCAACTGTCTCTTCGAAAGAGGATTTAAACGTTCCGCTGGCACCGACGGGCAAGACAACAGAACTCTTTAACGAATCTAATTGCTCAGCCGCGAGAAGATCCCCCCGACGACGCAAATAGAGTTTCAAACTCTTTGAATTTTGGCAACAACGGTGGAACGGTGACGCGCAGCGCCGGTTGCTTGTTCCCGCCGGTGGATTTGTTTTGACAGCGGCCGGAAGCATTAGTAATGCAGATGAAGTTACGCGGACGGAATTTTTATGTGTTTTTCAGGG